AATGGAAATGCTTGAAATCACACGGAACAAATGTATTTTAGCAATCTGGCTCCCACTACCATGGCCATAAGCTCGACCTTTGAAAGCGTTAATGTCTTAATAGGTGGCACTGTTTACTTCGCTACTATCAGAGACGTAGCAGAGTTTCCACCTTCATCAAATGCTCTCAAAAAGGCTCATGCTCCATAAGCCTTCAGGCTGGCGTCGACGAATATATGCAGTTCAGCCTTTTTAAGTGCTCCATGCAGTCCGTCTCTCACGCAACGCGGAATCTTTATGTGGCGGAGCTGTATTACATCGGCACATCAGGCTGCCCACTGCGTCTTGATCTCCGCGGGCAATTCTTCATGCCCAGAAATGGCCCAAAACCGAAAGGCGTTGAAACAAAAGCTTGGCAGTGATGGTGAATGGCGATAGAATGCCAAGCTGGTCATAAATTCGAGAAGCAACCTTCAGTAGCACACGTTTCGTGTCGAGCTGGCCAGCCACTAAATACTGGGCTACAGACTTGGAAGAAAGTTTGAAGTAATCATTTCCTATATCCTATTGCATTCCGCAGACCGCAGCTGCTTCTACGGATGCTCCTTCTACTTGCTGCTCCTGGTTGTCGAAAATGTTCTGCAGCTGATGGTCATTGGTCTTCCACTTTCTGAGCCTAATGCCAGCATCTTTCATAATTTCTTTCGACTGCTCATAGATGCGCCGACCTTCATGGAATGTCTCCGCACCCACCAATAAATTGTCGACATGAAATGCATTTTTTATTGTAAAAGCGAGCTCTTTGTCTTCACATGCGTTATCTAAATGGTAGTGAATAGTCGCCATGAGCAAGAAAGGGCTTGACGTTGATTCAAACGGTACTCGTGTCATGCGCCATTCGCCGAGCTTACGGTGTTGGCTTACGGAAATAGAGTCAAACCAGAAAAACCGGAATGCATCTTGGTCAGTCTCATGTATCCTAATTTGTAAGAATGCCTTTTCGATGTCGGAATTGATGGCGACGGGGTACCACCGAAAGCGAAGAAGGACTTGCAGCGATTCTGGATTGAGATTCACTCCTTTATCCAAGCAGTCGTTAAGGAATGGTACACCTTGGGTGTGTGACGATGCGTCGAACACTACACGCAGTTTGGTAGTTAACGATTCCTCTCTTAATACTTCCCGATGTGGCATATAATATATGGTGTGATCTCGAACCCGAGGAGTATCCTTAGGCACCACTTCCGTGTGACCCATCTCCAGATATTGCAGGATCACTCTGTCATATCGCTGCAACATTCCTTCCATCGTTGATAGCCTCCATGTTAATCTTTGTAGACGTGATAGCGGAATTTCCCGGTTGTTCCCTAGAAGCGGTTCCTTATCTTCCTTCCAAGGCAACGCCACAGTGTGTCTGTCACTTTTCTTGCTAATGATTTCATGTAATCGTGCAACGAACTCATGAGAGGAAGATTCCGTTGAATCTGCGATGCCCCTTGCTTGTGGTTGCCAAAAAGATTGCAAGGTCTGCGAGGTTGATTCGTCATCACCAATTTCTTACACTTTCAGAATGCAGACCATTAGGCTAGAGCTGCAGTCAAGAAAGGCTTTTTGGTGACTGGGTCCTTGTAGCGTCCATCCGAAAGCTGTATGTATTGCTACCAGTCCTGGAACTTCTGCACTTTTGACGGTGCGTCCCGCCGTGATTTGCCAGAAGTGGTCAGCACCGATCAACAAGCTGAGGCTATTTTTCGTTTCCGCATCAAACTTCTTTTCGTCCGTAATGACCTTGCCTTCAAGACGCAGGTTCTGAACGAAATGGCTGTCAGCTTTCGGGGAAGCAATATCGTGGCAGATAACTGGAACAACGATTGCGTGCACCGTGTTGGCTACGCAGAGGAACTTGTACCACTTGCCGTCTTTCTACAGTACTTGGTGATGAACAGCCAAACGTATTCAGCGCAATTTGTGTTCCTCCCAGCACCTGTGTGCGTAATGTCTTGGCGAGATCTTCCGTGACGAAGGATCGCTGGCTGCCTCCGTCGAGAATCCCTCGGACATACCTTGTGTTGCCGTTTTTGATGACAAAGGCGCGAAAAGTTTGTAGATATACTTCACTGTGATTTGTTGTGCCCCCGCTCAGTGAATTCTTCTCACACAACATAACTGATTGTGACGACACCATTCCTACTGTGCTGCCGGAGGAGTCAGCTGGACGAGAAGGTGTCGCTGTTTGGTTCGATGTATAGTGTAGGTCGCACACACTTGACGCGTGCCTCCCATGGCAACTCGAGCAGGTAAGTTTGACGCGGCACGAACTTGCCTGATATCCTCGGGACGTGCATCGATAGCAGCGGATGTCTTTTGCAAGCCTTCCTTTCTTCGAATCGATGGCAAGGTTCGCGTCACAAGCGCGGGTGCCATGTTTCTTTGACTTGCAGAAAAAACACTCAACCCAGCTGCTCGATGTGCTGTGTAGTACGGAAGCCGTGCTGGTGCTGCCGTTTCGAGTCCTCTGTGCACGGTCATCCAGCAGTCGGTCATTAAAGGGCTTGCACTGCTCCCGACTTTCTAGCTCTATACGTGTATAGGTGAGCAGCTCATTAACTCCGCATCAGATGCAGCAGCTGCCACGCTTGGCTCAAAGACATTGGCAGCAGACCCATTTTCTCTTAGTGCCTGGCTGCGCTTTGCACGTATGTAGGCCAAAATGTTCTCGTACGGTAGGGGTTTCTGTAAAATGTCAATCAGCATAGCAGAAAAAGCTAAGCGTAGGAACTTTTAGTGCAGTTAGACAACGGATATTCAGCTGCACAGCATCGTAAAGTCGCCTAAGGGCGCGGACGTCGCTTCCCGACTTGATGTGAGGTAGATTGCGAAGCGCTGATAGGTGGTGTTGCTCGATGCGTTTTCAATCTCCGAAGCGTTCCTTCAATAACTCGATGGCGTCTGCATAACATGCTTCGGAAGTCGGAAAACCACATATCGCAGCTACCGCTTCACCTGCAAGATAATGACGTAGATAGAAGAACTTCGTTGTTGCTGACGTAGCGTTGTTCAGGTGGACAGTTTGCTCAAACTGCTCCCAGAAAGCCGACCATTGATGTATATCACCTCTAAATGTTGGCATGCCAAGGTTCGGCATCCTTGGGCCAATTGCGGTTGGCACGTCAGATGATGATGTGTTTGCGTTCTGAGGAGCAGCCGCTGATGTACTGTCTCCACGCAAACCGTCTATCTTGCAGCGAATCTCAGCGAGCATGCTTATAGCTTCGTCGTTATACTCTGCTGCCGCGACATACTCAGCTTCGAGCTCCTCGTCCGCTACGTGCTCATTGATCTGCGAGAGCTCGTTGTTGCTCGCTGACAAACGGTCATAAATACCTGTGAGTTTGGGCTTGTCCGCGGTAGGGTTACTTAGCAGTGACCTTGCTTCTTGCAGGAGCTTGGTGTTCTGGGCTCGTCAAGCGGAACGCTTGGTCTTGAGGCGATCCATCACATCCGGTGTTGGAGTCTAATTTGGTCTACGCCAATCAGGATCGATTCCTTGCAGTCCTCGCAACCCGCAAAACGACGCGGTCGAGTAGAAGGTCCCCTTGAGTCGTGCGATGAAGGAGACGTGTCCGCACGAGGGGTTTCGGCACCACGATGTAAAAGAAAACTACCGATCGGCGAAGAAACCAGATCGAACGCCGTTTCTCGTTTGCAATTTGTTCTTCTTCTGTTGCAGTACTAGCCTGCACACGTTTATTCCTTTTCTTTTCCAACAGGCCCTGTCAATTCCTATCCGGGCCCAAGGTCTTCGATAATTTATTTCATTTGAATCTCTCTCAACTTTTTGTTCATGCGCGAGATTACTATTTTTCGCTCATAACCTACGACACCGATGCCAACGCCAGAATTTACGCGAAAAGAGCTCTTAAACACTGTCACTATAAAGGAGCAGTTTTCCCACAAGCACGAAGTAACAAACGCTATAGCAACAAATTAAAACGTTATAGGAGAAAGGCTGGCCAAAACCATATTTGTATCTTATGACTTAACTCTTTAAACGCTGGTGTAAAAGAATACAGCCGATCTCGAGTGAGATGCTCTTCCGCCCAGTCTTTTCGCGCTTGCAGAGAAGCAAGTGCAAGGGTAGGCGAGTCACCTACAGATGGTCGCCACTAAAGCACGTGTGCCAGCGAAAAATCAGTCATTCAATAAGCTTTATTAGGGTCCAAAGGAACTAACGAGTCGTAGTTGCGGGTCGCGTGCACTCAGGGTCGGAAAACTATGATCTTCCTGCGCCCGTTAGCGAAGGACATGGACTCCGCCCGTTCACGGAGCTTAGAAAGTCCATGACCAACCGCTTTTGACTAGCGTTCGAATGGCAAACAGGGCTTGGCAAGCGAGTTCATGACCAACCGGCCTTACCGAAAAATCCCGAAAGACCCTCCATAATAGCCCGTACGGAGTGTGCGCTTCACATCGAGTTATCTGGTGATCCTATGGTCCACAAACTGTCACATCTGGCTATTTAAGAAGTTTGTCTACTGGTACGTTTGAATCCGTAGTGTACTGCACCTACCTGTTATTATGAATTACGAGATTACAACCCAGAATTGGCGTAGGCAAGCTTCAGACTGCCGAAGTATGTTGTGTACCTGTCTGAAATAAAATCGTATTGTTCTGCTAGCTCTTCAAACATCAAGCGTCTTTCTTACACAGCAATGGGCACACTGATGAGTGCAGTGGTCTTAAAATGAAAAAATATGAATACGAGCAAAACGCTTGCATAAGTGGCTTTTGAACAAAGTTAGCTTTCTGCTTAAGTAATACATATTTAAATGTTCATGCAAATGCTTTTTGTATTTCCACCAGTATTTCACACAAGGTAGAAATAATTTGTGTGACAGCGATAAACGTAACACGTTTCTTTTGCTGCACTACCACTTCGCAAAGTTCAAACTACGATAATGTGTTTCTGGCGCAATCGTTTGTGCAGTTGATGTAGCAGCTATTTTTCACTCTACATGCAGGCCAGAAATGTTGTTCAAGATGACGCAAGGGCCTACGCCTGGAACCATACACATGATTGTGGGTAACGGTAAGTAAGAGATAGGCTTCGTTGGGTACAAGTGAACAGTAGCTAGCAAATTTGCTACTGATCGCCTATTCTGGTACTTGGATGAAGCACGCAAAAAGAGACTTCATAGCTCTTTAGAACTTTCCCAAAGCCACTTGAACAAAAGAGTCGTATATACAGGGTGTTTCAAGAAATGTGTTCAACATTCTTTAAACATCAGCAAAAGGCGCTCTTAGCTCGCTGTTCAGCGTTACTTCTTCTGTAACGGCGGGCATCTTAAAAGGGTTGAAGACACCCTTGAGAACAGTAATTAGAACAGGTAATTTATTACCCTTTTAATTAGTTAGGTTAGGAAGTTAAGTCAAACGAGAAAATTGAATACATTCCTGCGAAGAACTAATTGAAGCTTTTAAATTTCAGAAAAGTGGTCTCTAGTATTAACGGCGAAATAATGAATGTCCCTTAAATTTTGTGGTGAAACCAAAACCAAAGGATCCAAGAGCGCGAACAAGCAGACGACTACAATGCCTCACTGTTCAGATTAGTGGTTACAGTTGGTTACAGGGGTGTACTCTTGCGCTTTTCGTAAACGCATGTGCGTCATGCGTGCTCTGATTTCAAACGCAGCACACCCACACAAAGAAGTCGGTTGATGGTTGTTATACCAACGCTCTCTCGTTTCGAACGTCACAAGCAAAAAGCAGTTGTGCTCTTTAGCGGTTCAGTATAAGTTTTACGGCAGAATTTAGAAAAGAAGTTTATTATTCGCAGTCATTACTAGAGGCGACTTTTCCGAAATCTCAAAGAACAATACGTTGTGCGAAGACATGATCTCACTCCACCGATAATATCAGTGAAGGCTTTTTTGAACTTCTTGCGTGGTCTATTGAATGTGCTATTGAATGTGGTTTATTGAATGCACCCCAGCTTGCTTTTTTTTGTTTTTCGCGCGTTTATTTCGCTCTTCGCTTTCTTCCCAATCTTTCTTACCTGTTCTCCCTTCCCCCAGTGCAGGGTAGCAAAGCGGATGCTACAATATCTGGTTAACCTTCCTGCCTTTCCCTCATTTTATTCTCTCTCTGTGTGTCGCATGAAGTATTTCAGTCCTCTCGTCTGACTTAACTGACTGACTTCACTAAATAAAAAAAGTAAATATTTTAACTTTCCCAGTTACTCTCCCAATGAGGTATTCGAACCCTCCTAAATTGTCTGCCGCTGCAGAAAAGGCAACGCTGAAGACAGCTAGCACTTAGAGCTTTTTGCTGATTTTTAAAGAATATTGAACACATTTCTTCAATCACCCTGTATATCTAGCGACGAAAAACAGAAAATAAACAGCCCCCTTCGCTGTACTTAATCAGCCACGTTATCACATTGTTCATTTACTGGACTGTGGAAAAATGCCCATTACTGCTGCGTAGGCTTCGCCGTACATTATCATTTTGTGATAGGATCAAGTTAATATCACACCGCACTGTTTTCCATGTTTATTATATGCAACGCACCTCGTTGACTACCCTGTGTAACGCTGTCGCTCCGTCCGCACCACTCCATTTGCCGCATGTGTTGGAGCGGTGCCAAGTAGCTGAAGCTTTCCTAGGAGTGTGTGGTTACGTCTCTCTCCCTCGCCGCCGCGCGCTCGCCGAGAGTCAGCTCTCTCTCGCTGCACCCTCTGTACCATTTGCCATGCTCGAGCCCACTCATCACGTGGGCATCATCTCAACCGCGCCGCCTCTCTCCATCTGTCGGCCAGAAGGAGCCGTGAGCTGGCGGTGTGCTCCCTACGCGCTTCTCGAGAATCTCATAGCTCCGACAATGTGGACAGCGCGCCGCTGCTTGCCACGCGAGACGCTGTCACCACATGGTTCCCGCCAGTGTGCGCTTACCTTTCCGGCTGTCGCCGGCGTTTAGAGGGTCAGCGAAGCCGATCGCGTTTGCTTAGGGCGACGTCAACACCGACGAGGCGCGAGCCAGGGAACCCGAATACAAGCGTGTCCTTGTGTCCCTTGTGTCTTACGCCATTGTGTACTATGAACTGAGCTGCAGCTTGACAAAGCAGTTTTACTTTCTAGAGCAGGGCCCGCCATGGTAGTCTAGTGGCTAAGGCACTGTTAGCGTCAAATAAAGCCCAAACAGCGGCAAGCCTCGTCGACAGTGTAGTGCGCGCCATCCAATTATCAACATTGACAGGCGCGCGCATACTGTTCGGCAGCTCTGTGCATATTCCTGTGCCTGTTCGTGGCGACAGCTGGATGACACGCATTATACCATCGCGAATCCTTGCAAGTGTTCGAGTTTTATTTTAGGCTGATAGTACTCGGCTGCTGACCCGGAGACCACGAGATCGAATTCCAGCTGCAGCGGCTGCATTTACGATGGAGGCGAGAATTCTGTAGGCCTCTGGGCTCAGATTTGGGTGCACTTTGAAGAACCCCGGTGGTCGGAATTTCCAATGCCCTCCACTACGGTGTCTCTCATATTCATATTGTGGTTTTGGGACGTTTAATCCTACATATTAAGCATTTCTAGAGCAAGTGGGCAAACACATGCACTATAGGTCACGCGACAGCTTCTACCTCCAGGACTTGGCCCAGCAGCATCAGCACATGGAGCCCTACTTTTTGCCCTATATGCTCCTCAAGTCTGATCCTGGCAGTAGGGTCTCCAGTTCGTATTTCTTAAGGTTCAAGCAAGTGGGTGATTGGTACGGTGACCAACAGTGCTGCTGCGAACCGCACTAAACCATGAACATTCTTCCCGTGACCATGGACAACAATGACTACCACAAGAAGATGGCACTTTATACCAGAAACCTACGCTGGATTCATATTCGCTATGCCCCGAAGCTCCTGACTATACGCCATGCGCAGTCGTGCAGGAAACCGGCGCAAATGAGGTGTCTGGCGAACCAGACACACTATGATCGACAAGTCGTTGATAGATTCCGGCAGCGATATCTTCAAGTACGCCACCACGACTCAAAAGCCTGCACCCGGAGACATCAGCTCGACGTACATAATTCGACGCTCCACTGCCGATAACAGGAGACGTGACCGAGTCTTCGACTTCTTCGAAAAAGGTCGCAATGCCCCTGCATGATGGTGTCGCCGCACAAAAGAGCAAGAATGTTTCCTCATCGCCATCGCCCTCGTCGAGTGAGGACACCGTCGTTGTCATTGGAGTCTTTAAGCATCTAAGAGAAAGGCATACGCTCAGGAACAGTTGCCCCCCCCCCCATATGTTAAGAAAAGCATGACCAAGAAGCCCCTGCAGATGCTTCAGATGACACGCCAACTCATGATGAATCCCACTCCCAAGAAGTGCACCGATTGCCTAGAAACTAAGCGAGCCTACGAAAGCAAGACAAAACAGAATCTTCCTACTACAACAAGGAATCTTGGCGGTAACCATTGTTTTTGTGCCATGTACAAGCGAATGCATTCTTTTCTGCTTGAATATGTAAACTGGTTACGCAGGGCAATAAATTCAGTAAATATTTTATTATTTGGTCCGTCATTTTACTAGTCCTCCACGTAATTTTAGTGGTCAAGTCGACCTAATTAGACTGCGTGTCTGTTTTACTGTTCACTTTGTTAATGACCGTATTCCTCACACTCACTAAAGTCGTCGCCGTTCTAGCTTTAGAGCGTAATGCCCACATAAATGGTTTAATTATGAAACACCGGTCAACTGGTTAAAGTCAATATTCCTACGAGCTTGTTGCTTGCTTTCAGCGATTCAAGCAGTTTGTATCAGTCAGTGGTACAAGCGTATACCACATGTTATGATGAAGCATGATGTACAACATACCTCATGTGCAAGCGTGCGTGTGTATATGTACTAGACATGCATGCCTTGTAGTGTAATAAATTGCACCCGACTTGCACCCTCTCCTGTCTCCAACTGCCGTCGCACTGGGAAGTGTACCTAATTTTGTGCATTCATCTGTTCTATAATATTCTTTGATTACGTCGGCTATACGGAACCATAAAATGTTGCAAAATAAATTGCATGCTAATGTACGAAGAAGGGACGCAAATGGTTAAGCTTAAGGATGCTCACAAAAGTGGCAATCAATATTTCTGCGCGCTTGCCAAGTCTATTTATTTGAGTAGTATTGTCACATCAGCTAAACGACTCGCGGTTTCTTTGCCAAAAAGAAACGTTGATCTTCCCTTCAATTCATTGTCGTTCACTGTTAGTTGAAGCATCCATATGCAGTGAATTTTTTTTACGGAAAAATCATTGCATATGTTATTTTAGTAAATAAACCAACAGGCGGAGCACAAAATTATAATCGACCACACAGAGTTGGCGCCCTTGAACTCTCGATGCGACAGCTTTGTGCTCGACTGTTCGGAACGCTATAAGCGATACCTTGGTGCTGTCGCTCACTTCACCACTTTTTAAAGCTTTTATTACTTTACATTCATTAACATGCTTCCTCACACGCTATATTCAAGGCTTCTCGAAATGTTTATGGAGAGTGAAGCTGTACAAGGTATTGAGCTCTGAAGCAAACTCGAGCGACACCACCGGCGATTCCACGAATGGGACCCGCAAACGAGCATCCGCATGCGTCCTAAATTAAACCAAGACATCGCAACTACATTAAGTGTATTCACCTCGGTGTCGCCTTCACAACATTGTGTGTGTATAGTCCTGGAGAAAAGTTTCCAGGCCACGCTTTCATAAAAAAACATTGAATAGTGACTTGGAAACTTTTGTCTCCCTTGTACATATCCTCAGCTGCTGTGACACCGATCCCGATAGTGACCACATTCAAGTGCCGAAAGCACTTGAGCACATATTTTGCGCTTGCTCACATAAGCGCATGAAGAACAGCAACTGAATTTTCTCGCTGAAGGATTGCATTCACCGAAGGGGTCATTCATCGAAGGGGTCGCCTTGGGGCCTTGGCCTGAAGCCAACAGTGCAACTGTGGCCGTAAGAGAGGTGATAGCGTTTCTACAAGCCACTGAAATGGGTGCGCCGCTGTATCGCTGCGCCAACCTGGCGGA